CGAGGAGATGCCAGCTGAAAGACATAACAAGACCCAAAAGAAATACGTTAAAAAAGCAAAAAACATCAACACCATTGTATTTGCTACATGATGCATGTACAACTGAATGGTACCTGCATACCAGCAGCTTATTACCTGTGAACTGTTCTCAGAGGCATCTGAAAAGGTGTTCAAAGAGCTCATCTACTTCAGAGAGGCAGCATGGAAATACCAAAGGGCTTGCTTGAAAATTTAGCAGCTAGTGTTCAACATTCTGGTGATGAATGAACAATGAAGAGGAGAATGGAAAATATTTCTTTTCAATGAGAAGTTGAAGCAGCTTGTATTTGATTCAACAGAAAAAGGTGACTAAAAAAATTTGAATTCACAGCATACGCATTAAAAGGCATTTTGTTACCTGCTGATTCAGATAGTAGGGCCATAATATGAACTATTATTGGATCACAGTTCACCACTGCTTCCTGCAGCAAGGCATTGTCAGGTCCCAAGACCTTCTCTCCTGTGAGCAACAGATGTCATGGGTGACTGAGGCAGATCCTTTCTGATGTATTTGTGCCCCTCCTGTTGCAACAACCTGTTGCTTTTCACACTGAGACACCCTGCTTCCAAAAGGACCAACTTCTCCTCCTATCTTCATCAGCTAAAAAGCATCTGTGATGTAAGTATTAATAAATATCCTCATTCACTCCTGTCTCTTTGATCCCAACTTCCCCAACTTGCATCTGTTCTTTGCTTCTTAACCCTTTACACACTGCTAAATGGGACAGGAGCCCTCAGAGCAGTTGTCTTTGTTTATCTAAGAGTTACTACTTAGTACCAGACGAATTAATCTCTTTTTTGAACCTTTCATCACATACAGCAAAATAAAGCAATAATGCTTATACTTTTTTTTAATCACTGCCAACAGCATTGTGTTAAAAAAGGCTCTTTTTAATAACATGTACTTTCCTGTAGAGTGGATCTTATGAAATATGTCCTTGTCATTTTTCTGGGACTGTTCAGCAGGAGATGCCAGACAGGTTAATTATTATCATTTATTTGTGCAGGAAAGATCATAAAAGTGGTCTGTAGCAGAAAGCACACACTCCTTGTTGCCAAAAAGCAGATGCTGCATGAATAGAAGTTGGAGAAGCCACCTGCTCACGTTGCTGTGATGTTTCTGCCTGCAAGCTAGAACCACCACTCTTAGAAGACAGCAGAAATTTAGTCACATTGCTTTGGTCTGTCCTTCCTCACTCTGGTGCTAATTTTGGACAGCCACTGAATTTGTGATCTGACCTTTTAGTCAGCAAGGGTAGGACAGTCCATCAAACCCACAGCAGAAAAAGCCTCAGGAAAAGCAGATAGTATCAGACAGAAAGATAGAAGCTCTGACCATAGCTGTAGCCTTCACAGCTACTGGGCATTCTTGTCCTTTAAACAATCTTTAACCCAAAGCCAGCAGTGAATTTCCACTGTGTAAACATTAACTTTCAGGTCAAAGGGAACATAGATGTGCATTGGTTAATCACCCACTATTTCACTTCATGCTCCTCCTATTCAAAAATATGATTGAATTTTAAGTTGTTTTGCTCACACAGTCCAGACTTCATTTTGACCTAGTCAAGAAAGAGCATGTCTTTTTACTTATGAGCTTGTCTTGTGTTCAACATCTTTTTAAGAGAAGTCCATTGTGGTATGCTAAGAATAAACGTCCCTGTGCAATTCCAGAGGGTATGGAACCAGCATTTCTGTGCACTGGTAAGGCCAAGGGACACAACAAGCTCTACCTCGGTGATACAATGCCAAAATAGGAAAAAGAAGACACATTTCTGTATTTAATGGTATTTGCAGCAGGTTTTGGCTAAACAGCTGAACTGCCAAAGTTAGAATTCACAGTCTCTTTGCTGCCACAGAGAGCTCTGAACATCTAAACCACCTTCCTTACAAGTATGCTGAAGACTTGTCCTCAAAGCTGTGCTAAAGCATGCCTGTCCCAAAGCAACTAATGCTACTCTGAAAAACCCTCAACATTGACAAATCTGCTTTTTTTCCCCCAATTACTGTTTCAGGCATCATCACTCTCACTGTTAGGGAGCTACATCTTATTTCAAGATCCATTTAGAATCAGGTCCTGAGTACTGCTGTTCATTGCAGCTTTGCCTGCATTAACTGGAAATCCCTTATGCTGCTCACATGGCCACTGTTAGTGAGAGAGACTCTTCTTAATTTCTCCTTTGCATCCTAATGTACCATAAAGAAATATATTTTCCACACTTCCTGATCAGATGTCAAAATAAAACAGTAGCACAAGTGGATAATAAATAATAAGAATAATACTTTTGGCCCTCACAGGTCCTCACTAGATGTGAGAGCTTTGCCATTGCTACTTGAAATTAAAGATTGGAACTGCTTTTATTTTTCTTCCCCTCTTCCACCTGAAAACTATGTGATTTTTTTTTCCTAAAATCCCTGTGTGTCTGAGGACTAAAACGGAGTGCTGCAGCAAAGCATACCCTAAGGAAGCTTTACCTCTGCACACTTCCTGGTAACTTGCCAGCCAGTGACAGGTTCATCAATAATGATAATGGCTTTCTGTCGAAGCAAACTAGTGCACTAAGCAACACACTTGCTCAACCCTACAAAGGAATCAAAGTAACCAGCATCCTCATAAGGATAGTAAGAAAGAAACATGAATTCTAACAAGAGGAACTGACTAACAAAAGAAATTAGAAGGATTAAGCTCACTTTGCTGAAAAGCAGAAGCAGGTTTTCAATCAGTGAAAACTGTCACCTTGTTATCCACTGAGAAATGAGAGTCCAAACCCGACTTCACCATAGCTGACTGATACCGACTGCAGGCTACGACACACCAGTTCATCTGTCATTTGTGACAAATGGAGCATATAGCAGCTGCCCCTGCAAATATAATCAATAATGAAAATTTGTATTAAGGTTGCACCTAAAATGCCATTGCTGGGTAGGTTTCACATGCTTAAAAAGTAAGTGGCATCCTTACTAAATTTTCCTTGTTAAGGACATACTCATATTCATTCTGATTATCCTCCCAGTCATCAAAGTGGTCGTAGATCAACCAGAAAGCTCTGCCAAGCCCCTTGGGAACAGGGGAGGCTCATGGTTTATTTGTTTTACATTTCACCTGCATGTGCATGAGAGGTCCAACGTGTCTCACATGTACCTGCACGAGCCACCTTCACTGACACCTCGAGAACACAGCACCTGGGCACATATTTCTGCCTAGAAAATAACACAGAGATATTGTGTAGCTTGAATTTAAAGGGACTGGGTAACAATGTTTTGATGTGAAATGTGTGTGCATGTAGTACAAACCAGAGACAGAGAGGACCAGAGATGAAGGGAAACAGAGAAACAAAATTTCAGTGGTACAAGAGAGACAAAGCATGGCACAGAGAAACAGAGAGGAAAATGGGAAAAAAGGGGAAACCAGAGAGGTGAGCAGGAAGCACAAAGAGGAGTCTTTGTGACTTCTAGTGATACAGAGGGGTCAGACAAATGGGGCAAATGGGGAGAGAAAGAGTGATAGTATTTGTGAAAAAGGGAGCTGGAGGAACAGGGAATGAGGTATAGGTAGACAGAGGCAAGACAGACAGAAGGGTCACAGGGCATGGAAGAGGTGTGTGTGTACAGATAAAAGGAAGGTAAAACACATAAAACAAGTGTGATATAGAAAAGTTGTCTGGTGTCACATGCCTAAGCTTGCAAGCGAACCATTTTTGGACAGCTGAAACAGGTAAGGTGGAAGAGCGACATAACTAACTCCAGCTGCTCTCATACTCCTGGTTCTGACAAGAAGCTGGAATTTCCTGCAAAAATAAATGTAACATCACCTACATGCACAACTCCATTATGCATTACCTTGTCCTAAGAAGATAAAAATATACCTCATTGTGGTTACCTGCTGAGATCTAAACAAACAAGATACTGATTCTGGATTAGAGGCCTACTTTAAAACATGCAGACAGGTGAGCTGCAGCCAGGGGTTTGGCCACTCTAAAGATGCCACAGGGTGAAGGAGGAAACAGCACTACAGCTTGCTTGGTCTGCAGCCCCTTAGGAACCTGAGGGAGCCCAGATCTGGTTACCCTAAGACTGCACCTGACCTTGAGAAAACAATTCCAGCTTTCATTGTCAAAGGATCAGAGACAGACACTAGTGCTGTCACTAGCTGCACAGTTCAGACATGTGTTCTTTATTATGAATATTTTGGTACCTTGTTTCTTCTGGTTGTAAACTAACAAACTATTTCACACAAGCACCTGAAAACTTAACTGCACTCACGTTTACAACTGCTCCCAGACCTTTCTGGAAATGGCCTAAGGAAAAGCAAAGCATCCGTCTTTTTAATAAGTTTGATTGGTGCCCGCAGCTGTCACTTTTGTGCCTGATTAGTGGCAGTAGGCAGGTTTCCATCTATTGCCAAGCAGCTGCCAGAAGAGCTGCAGGCAGAGGTAATCCAGAGACTGCAGAACTCTGCTCCCTGCCAATTTCACACCGGCTTTTTACTTTCTTCTATCCCCATTTATTATTAATCTCTATTTGTATCTAACTCCAGCTCTAAGTTAGCCTTTGCCAGAGGCTTAACCATTAGAGGTGACTGTGAGGAAGCTGTGGAAAGAAGGACCTGCCATAAATAAAGCTTTTACCACTCCATGGAATTCTAGCAAGGGGAGAAACCGTGCAAAGCTTGGGCTATTTAAGAAAACAAGATCCTGTACGTGAAATCAGACCAGACCAAGTCTCCTTCATCCTTAATGCTAACTATGTAAAGGAAACATCTATTTCACAGAACTCCCCTCCTGATCATGCTGAGTTCCTACATTTTACCCATCTTTATATCCTTTCTAAATTTCCACCCATTCTAATTCAGAGGATGTACTTACATTCCATGTTTTCTGAAACCACTAAGTCCTCAGGCTCAGTAGGACCATGTCACATTTGATCCAAATAAGTACTGTATAAAAACATACTTTTTCCATCAGTTTTCAATTAACTGCTTTTTAATTTTTAATATAAAAAACAAGACCACAATCAATTATGAAAAGATAAACAGGAGAACCTGATTTACTTTGCCCTCTCCAAAGTAAACAATTTTAATTTAAGCAGCAGAACTAACACCAGTTGTTTTCTATTAATGATTTTCTTTTTAAGGCTTCAAATCTTTTTTTCATATCTTGCCTATTGTTTTTATCCCTTTTGAATAAGGATGAACAGCGTGCTCTAGGTGAAAGAACAATCCATTCATCTAATGAAGGCATTCCATTATTTTCCAGACCACTCCTTACCCATCGTTCTGTTTTGCTCACTTGTTTTGGTCACTTTACTGTACATGAGAAGCCCACTCAATGTCATCTTTCATTTAGAGGTAAAATGAATGCAAATCATTGCAAAGACTGTCCATAAGTTTTCCAAATGGAGACACGGATGTCACGTATACATGCTGTGTATGATGAAGTTTCCCACAGCAGTGAGAAGTATTCAACTTATTGCACACTTTCCCCTGATATTCCATAGATCCAGATAGTCTGCAATCCTAAGCAAAACTCTAGGTTCCCAATTAGGTTTCTGGAAAACCTTTCCCAAGTCTTTTCCAACAACAGAAGCTTCAGCAGGCTAGCCAGCTGTAATGTAATTTTACTCTGCTTGACAGAAGCATTACTGTCTTTGAGCATCCAGTCAAAATGGGAATTGTCATTAGGAACTCAGAGAAGTCATCTTCCACTTTCCATGCTCAGTCATAATGAAGGCTCTTCAGTGTTCCTCCTCCAAACCTCTTCCTTTCAGAGAAGCCAGGAATCTAGAGGCAGGGAAGACAAGTTATCATGTCAGAATCAGCAGGAGCTCCCTCTAGCTCACACTGTTACCAAGCCAACTGCATCGTCTTCCACACCATCTCCAGAATCAGGGCCACAGTGCTTCTGCTAGAGGAGCACTACTAATCAAACACTGCCTAACTCCACTATGGCTCATCTGTTCTGTGGGGCTCCTTAAGACTTTTTGGCAAGGGAAATTGAAAGCCTCAATCCTAACACAGTTAATGACAGATTTCAAAGCAGATTCAAGTGCACAGAAGGATTTCTCCTCCATTCATTTTTAAAACTATAAAACAATATAAACCAAGTCCTGTCAAAGAGCTGTTGAGGCTTTAAGCCTTCAAACCTGGGCAGCAGCACTTCAGTGGCAGTTGAAAGTACAGTTTTATCAATGGCTGTAAGCTTAAAGAAAAACATCGGGATAGAAATGGCTGCAACAATACAAAGGATTAGCACTCCTGCTTTTGCAGCCCATCTGCAGACACTGCTTACACAGTGACAATGGATGTTTACAAAAAAAATCGACTTGAAACCATCAGAAGCTTCTCTGGCCTTAACAGCATTTCAGACAGATTTTCAAGCCAATGCACCTGTGAATCCCCAAAAGAAAGTGATGTGCTGCTTTCTAATACTGCATATCTGCCCTACTGGCATCATAAAACTATTTGATTACAGGCTAGAGTAATTTTTACCTTACTGACTACACACAAGCAGAAAAGACAGACCCTGTGTGTGTGTCTACAGCAGACCCTGTAGACACACCCTCCCAAAACAATTCCACACATTCATAGGAAAGTCTATATCATAGTCATACAGTCTATTCAAATTGAGGGAGTCAACCAAGCCCTACAAAACATGCCAGAAGAACATGGCAAATATGTAATGTATTCACTAAAGTACTGGTTTATTCATCTCTGAAAAGCAATCATCTCTAAGGATATAATCGGGCAGATTTTTGTACCAAGGCTCACCTCATGAAAACTGCTTTGGAAATTGAAAGAGGAAAAATGCAATTATTATAACTAAAAAGTACCTGAACACCATAGGTCAAAAGTTATCTGCTTTAGCATTTTTTACATCAAAGTCACTAATTAAGAGTAACAATTATTTATTTATTATGTATCTGATTTAAGTAATAGGTATGAACAATTTGAAACTTAAAATTCCTTTCATCCTGAAGTTTATAACAGAAATAACTCAAAACACGACCTCAAAACATAAATAATAATAGCAACCTATCATAGAAAACCCACAAACACATTAGTAAGAGCTACATTAAGTATATAACTTCAAATTATAACATTAAGAAATTGTATTGAAGTCTCCATTTCCAATTTGGATTTTGCCCCTTTAAACATGACTACCGTTTAAGATTTGTTTCCAGCTTTTGAGCTCCTGTCAGGGAAGTAGATAATCATCAGCAGGCTGCAATCTTTGGCACACAGCCAAAAGGAATGTATAGTTAATCCCTGGCTAGCCACTAAATAGGATCAAATGATAAAAATAAAAATCTTACATCATGCATCAAAGACAACCAGCACACAAGCAGGTTTCTGCACTAAGATATTATTCCCATGAAAGAGAAACTTCCTTTCACTAGAATGTGGGGAGGAGAGGGGGAGAGGGGAAAAAGAAAGGGCATCATGCAGAACTGAAAGAGGCAAAAGCAAATTTATTTTCAAAATGCACGACAAAAGTGCTCAAAGAAAGGAAATATTTTGTAATCTGTGACTATTTCCCCACCACTCTCCCCAAGGGGCTTTCAGCACAGCTACCTCTAACAATGTACAGGTGTGACTGTACTTAAGAGATGCTTTTCATGGTTTTAATTTGCAACACCTTTACATATGGTAAATGCAACTTCACTACTCCCAGCATGACAGACTGCACGTGGGGAGCACAAAAGCTGAAGTGGCCTGCCCAAACCAGAAGTCATTTTGCTAGTACTTCCCCAACTGTCTGAAAACACTTAATTCAGTCCTTTAGGAATGAATTACAAGCGGATATCATACTGCCATTTTCCTTGTGGCCCCACTGAGTCTCTGGAGACTACTTGTATTAAACATAAAATCTCATTCCATCTGTCCAAAAAACTCTTTTATTGCCCTTCAGGATAATATCTATGGCCTTAATCTGCAACCAAGCAGCCTGAAGTTGACAGAGCTGCAAGAAATCGTATTTGGCCATTTTACCTCATTCTTCTAACTTCTGCTATGTTAGCTTACTTAAGTATTTCACTGCCAATCACTTTACAGACAAATATTTCAGCTTACAAAAGTCAGTCATTCTTAACAGCTGTGCTCCCACAAATACGAGAATTAAATTACCAGCACAGATTGTCATTTAGGTAGCATGAAGCTTGTGTTTTAAAGAGGACTATGTCAGCAGTTCACATTACAGAGGGAGAAATGAAACAAAAGAGGAGGAAAAGTGACAAACCTGATTGCCATCTCTTAAGAAGTATCTCTTCTCTATGACCTGGGAACAACAGAGAATGATCTTAGCTTGCACAGCACAAGCATAACCTCAGACTGCAATCAACACTCCACACATGAGCACTGATACTCATGGCTAACTGGGACAAGGTCTGATCCCACATCTCTACTCTAGGCCTACTGCTTTAATGCAGTGCCCTAGCACACACAGCAGTTGCCACCTACAGCCATTCCTGGACAAGCTGTCTAAGCTGTCTAATCATCCTCAAGTTCAACACAGTCCTCCTGGGTAATGGAGGTGATGGTTTGTGTGTCTCTTGCTTCAGACTCAATTACTCCCATTCCCTCTGCAGGCATACTGGTTCCTACTACTGCTCAGTAGCCCCACTATGCTATCTTTGCTCAGAGGATGCTTAAAACAGAGCATTCCTTTTCTCATTTGCACAGTGGACCTTAATGGTCTCTTTTTCAGGAAGGGAGAATAATATTCTTAATTAATTTCTTAATTCCTAAAGGTTGGTTTAACTAGGATCAACAGAGCTAACCAGTCTTGTATCTCCTCACATTACCAGCTCAGACTGCTGCAATCCGTCTGGCCTGCCAGACAATTTCAAAAGCATAAGCAGAGTGTCTTTGCACATTTGTGAGTTCTTTTTCACTGCTCTATGCAGACCAGGAACTAAATCTTCAAGGAGATCAGCTATCTCCTGTAGGGTTCCGAAAGCAGATCTGTCTTTGGCCTCCCCACAGCTGGCTTGAACCAACTCAGAGAGTGGAATATGAAAACCGTTAAACTGCTGTTCAAGCTCAAATCCCAACATCTGATGCACAGGACAATAAAACATCATTTCATTGACTTACCTTATCAAAAAACCTGCTTAGTTTGACAGCATTGGATGAACCTGCAGCCAGGTAACGAGGATTTGTGCAGTCCTAGAACACCCAAAAGACAACAAACCAAGCACAAGGAAATCAGTGCAAGGAAGCCAAACACAAGGAAATGGAACATACCCTTTCCCCTGACACACACCATCAGCAAGGGAAAACAATGGATCTGCTGATTTCTGATCCACAGTCACTTCAGAGAAAAGACCAACTGCTCTTTGAATCAGCTGCAAAATTCCAAGCAACCCGCCATATGCTCCACATCTTCCTTCCACCACCAGCTATATAGTCAGGCAGTGATTTGTACAGGCTACACCTGAGATTGGGAGTGTGTATACAAGCATTCATACAGCACATGTATATTTTTATACCCACAGATCTATATAAAGTCATCTTCATGTTTCATTCAGACAGTCTATATCAGAAATATGAAGAAGAAAAAGAAAATTTAACTCCCAGCCAACAATTCTAAGTTTAAGTGACCTTATCTAATAACCCTTACATCTCCCTATAGTGAAACAAAGATATCTGTTTCATCAAGCAAGGGGCAGAGCCAACAGAAAAGTGAATGACTGGCACTACTGGAAAAATGTCCAAAAGCCAAATTTTTGTTACATCTTTACTTACTAAAAATTGGACTCGCTCCCATACAAAAGAAAAACAACAAAGATAACAAGGATACTAACCAAATTTATCTCTTCAGCATTGAAATCCTCAGCCAAGAATGCTGTTCTGGTCAAAACTTCATTCCTCTTAGTTTCTGGGATCTGATCCAGTTTAGTTCCTATTACCAGCAGTGGGATCTGGTTATCACCAAACTGTTCACGGTCATAGTCACTGATGAGGGAAAGAAAGACAATCCTGAATAAGGCAATGGCCATGTAAGTGGGCACAAATATAACATCACCTCCCCTGTACCTCTCAAAAAGCAGTAATTTATTTATTAACAGTCCATTTATCTAAGTTAAAATGTGCTATATTGTTGCTCTGATTTTTAAAAGTGTTAAAGTTTTCTTTTATAGTTATTTTGAAAGTTCTAAAGTTCTCATAAAACTTCTTCAACCTTCTGATCTGTTTATATATTTCTACTAGAGCTCTTACACACTGTTCATGTAAATAATGATTGTTTTGCATTCTTCTTTGTAAGAAGAGAGAATTGATGGACTATTTTTTGACCAGTGTGGTTGGAGAGGTGGTAATTCCATCCTCCAATCTACAGTCACCTCTAGAATTCTATAAATAAAATACTCGAATAAAACACTCTCTTTTTTGGCCTTTGAACGTACCAAGAGTTTGTGTACGGTGTCCAATAACGATACAATATCTTAAAATTAAGGAAGGGCTTCTGCATCTAAGTCACTAAATAGTAATCCACGCTTCACTCTCCTTAGCTAGGATAATCACTTGTGTGTCATTTTTACCTGAACAAAGCTTTCTAGCAATTAATTTTACAACCAACAGCAACAACTTGAGCAAGGAACTGCTAGTGGCTGAACATCTGTCCTTGACAGAAGTTAAATTTCTGAAAATTACAACAATTGTGAAGAACCCGTCTGTGGAGACACTGGAAAATTTTGCACTTTATAAATGTAAATCCTCTTTCCCATCTCCTACCCTTCTACAGAAACACCTGTGTACCAGAACAGACAAACAACTGATATTCTTCCCACAAAAAGCTACTCCTCATTATTGCCTTCCTGCTCATGTGTGAGACTTAGCAATGACTTTAAAACCTCCTTGACTAGATGGATGACAGGAGCACAGAAGTGCAGGAGGAAATCCAAGTGTTGGAGAGCTAATTATGAACATGTTGTTTAAGCAGAGTTTTCTAAGCTCTTTTAGCCACGCTCCTAAAATAATTCCCCCATCGCCCAAACCAAAAGTGTATGAAGCGAACTTCCTCAGTGTTGGTGCATGGAGGGAATGCCTCTTTGCCCAGACACGTTATCCCATGACATTTCCTGTACAATGGAATCTCTCAGCGCAGACAAAGAAATCTTGTAACTGGGACTGGACCCACTCTCACAGAGGCCTCAGACAAATAAGGGATGTATAAGCATCTTTTCCCTTAAAGCAAGGTCTCTGCCACCCAGTTTGGGAATCTGCTGTCAGAATCGCCCAATACTGTCTGGCAGTATAAAATAACAAGAACAATCAACAGTCGCCTTTTTTTGATACTTCCCATTTCTTTCTTTCTTTCTTCTGAGTCTAACCACATCTACTTTCCAGTGGAGACCAAGTAGCCTTAGAGATGAACAAAAGCTTCTACAACTGCTTGGAATTACCATGTCTGAGCTCTGCATATTTTTCACTCACCCATTTGTCACGAGAACTCCTGTTGGAGCAACATCCCTGTTGAGTGCTTCCAAAGACCAGCGATACAAATTCTGGGATGATTTCTTGTTGGTCAAGTCATGCACTAAAATTATCCCTAGAGTGAAAGACAAGACAGCAAGATGCCATTTAAAGATACATATTCTCCTCATTTTACCAAAATGACACCTGCAGGTTCCCAGATATCTGAGAATGAAGGGATATAACCAGCTCAGTTACAGTGAATAAGTAAGGCTGAAAATATCAGGATGCAACAGGTTTTTTAAAGCTGCTTATCAAGAACTGGCTAAAAGCTAAGAGAAAAATCACATGAAAGCAGGAAACAAACAGCCATCTCAGGCTTTAATCTGCAAAAGGCTCGCAGGCATTCACTGTGTCTGTCTACTTCTCATGATACTGAAATTCTATATTACTGCAGTAGAAAATTTTAGCCTTTTTCTGGTAAATATAATTATTTTTTATCACACCATCTATAAAGTCTGAAGGCTTTTTCTTTGTTTCAAAGGAGTTCAGAGAGAACTACTGCCTTCCTACATTTTCCAGACTTAATGCAAATATATTTGGGGAGGTATCCAAAGGGGAAACAGACACTGACAAAATTTCATACTCCACTAAATGGCTAGTAAAAGCATGAATTAATAAGACTTACTGCACTTAATCTTAAGTTTCTAGCATTTTTCATTACTATGAGCCTTCAAAATGTAAATTCTGAGACAGAGTCAAGCTTCCTAGCTGTGCTATTAACAGACACCCACTTCTGATAACCACAGTTCCTAACTCAATTACCAACTCCTGCTAGCAAATTTCTTCTATTTATTCACACCTTCTGCAATATGTGGAATGTTCCCACTTCCTCCAGACTTCAAACTATCATCAATTCAAGGATAAAATGCAATGATATCCCTTATCTGCATCAGGATTCATTCTCAAAACACTTCACAGCCTACAGGTGGAAAAAACTCAGTAATTTATCTTTCACCGTAACTTCCAGAGGTGCCACGCCATGAACAAACCGCATTTCCACAAATATTTTCCACTATCTCACATGACTGTGCACAGGCTCTCCCACGAGAGTTCCCAGCATATCACAGCTATAGCCCTATTTTCAAGCATTTATCTCAGCAACAGTATAAAAAAGCAACTCTGCTGCGTGTAAACCCCCAGCATAGAGAGAAAATGCCTGACACAACATAATTTGGCCTACAGCAACAGATCCAGAGGCACTGCTGCACAACCTGTGAGAAACACTTTCCAGCTCCACACACTCTCCCTCAGTTATGTCTGATTGGTCAGGTTCCTTATCTGCTTCACCTAAAACCTGCCCAGTTAGCTGCACCAGCAGAAGAAGACTGTCGACATCCAAAAAGAGCTGGCAGGACCAATGACTACTCAGAGAAATGCTCCTCCCACAACAAGGTCTGCAAGCCAAAGCCTTACTGCCCAGTCATGTCCACAGCTATCACAGTCCCCACACCAGGTGGAGAGGCACCAAAGAAGATCTGTGGATAATCCAAAACCAAAGTGTACCAGCCCTGTCAACAACCCAGCAGCCTGCACAGCTGCTGCCACAACCAAACACTGACTGGCTTTCAGACCACTGCAAGCCCAGAAAGCACAAGCAGTCAGGCAGAAGGAATGTATTCATCTTCTCTTCTTAAATCAGGCCAAGCAGAGGCAATTTGTGAGACAAGCTCTAATGGAGAAATTAATCTAATGAAAGAAACAAGACCCAAGGTTAACTACCAAAGTCAACTCTTCATATGCAAGCTGTCTAATTAGTATCTTTTGGGCAGTGGAGATAAATAACTCTATTTTAATGTCATCAATTATAATTCAGATGCATGAGTCCAAGATTGCATTTTTTAATGGGCTGTTCTAAGGTATTTCCAAGTCTGACCCACACTTCCTGGCACACTGTAGATTTGGGATCAAAAAGAAATCAATTTTTTTTCATATACCAAAGAGGCTTGCTTTGAGGGCACAGCTCAACTCAAGTCTTATACACAGAAATCTGGTTAACAGTATAAGCAAGAGGTAACTAATACAGTTTTCCCCTGAGAAAGGAGGAAGAAATAACTAGTTAATCACAGCCCAAAAATGTTTATTGTGTGGCTTAACATGTTATTGAAAAACCTTCAAATGAGTGGGAATAAGCAAAGAGAATCTAACACAATATTTGAGCCAGATTTTCATAAGCTGGTGTTAGTCTGATACACATCTATTTTTAGTGAACTGTCCTGGGATGACAAAAAGTAACAATTGAAATACTGCACTGTTATCTTTATAATCTCTTACTTGCTCTTGTTAGAGACACAAATGAACTATTAGGCCTTTAAGACAATATCTCAACAGAAGGCACAAAATACTACTTCTTACCTATGCAGTAAGTGGCAAAGTTTAACTCTTAAAAATAAGCTGGTAAGCTAAATGAGCAGAGGCAAGATGGTTATCAGCATATGGCAATTTTATGGGACACAGCTCAAATTTGCCAGGGTAGGATGTAACTATCGAAGTCATAAAAATTGAAATAGTAATTTTTCTGCTGTAAGTTTTACAACCAAACAGACAAGAAAATATAAATAATAAAAAAATCTTTATAAAATATAAATAATATTTCTGCAGTTCACGAGACCCAGAAAGATGAAGGCAACCACTGCACCTTCAAAGCCTCCCTGCTGTGCCAGCTGCACAAGACTGAAGGGGGAGGCTAATAGAGCTCATCTGCACAGGTTTGCCTGAAATATCTGCCGTTCACAACTGAATCCATAAAATTCTGCCTACGAATGGTATCAAGTTTGTTTCTGTATAAATCAGAAAGGAGAAAATGTAGCCCTCAGGCAGGCTGCCTGGAACTCTGCCCCAGAACCAAGGGACAGCTCCTAACAGAAACAGAATTAAAAACCATATTTACACCAAGCAAACTTACCATTCAACAAATTATAGAACACTGCTCTTGTGCTCTTCACACTGGTGGCACTGCCCACAGAACCTCCAACATCCCACAGCTCAATGTAATAAGTCTTCTCTTCTGGGGTTCCTTCTCTGTAGTCATGGATCTGATGAAAAATTCACATCGTACATAACCACAGCACCCTGTCACAGGAGTTAATCCACACACTTCCAGCTGGAAGGATTATTGCACTTGGATAGAAATTTGGAAATTCTCATGCTGACGCTATTTCAAACCTCTCAAGTGGAAGAGAGATGGAATGAGCCAAGCAGCAGCCACTGGGCACCACAGAGATGGAGATCACCATCTCATGTGAGAGGGAACCTGGTGAGTAAACAGGGAGCATCCTTTGCATCTCAGCATTAACAAACCCAACATCTCATGATGTGCTTGGACACAGTGTTTTGCTAAAGCAAATGGAAAAATTAACGTCATGACTTCTTAGTTGTTAAAACCCACAAGGCAGCACTGCAAGAATATTAACACAGGTGACAGACCTGGATCGCAACTGACCACATCTTTTTCCTACCCAAACTCTGGCATCTCAACTGAATTAATCAACAACTTCTGCCCCCAGATCTGCTGAGTCGTTTTGCTCCACAATCAAACAGGACTGCCACATTCCTCTCCTCGGATTTTGGAAATACATCCCTAACCTAGGGCAATGCATTTCAAGGAGAATGCAGCAAAGAATGATGAAGGAGAAGAGCATTTATCAATGTCCCATGAGGGCTGTAGGCTGGGCCAAAGGTGGATGGGCATACACATTCTTCCCACAGCAGGTCCTGCAGCAAGTAGACAGGAGAAGAAGCAACTCCATGGTCACAACTGTCACCAAAATCCAGGAAATAAACTCTCTAACCCAGTTAGGTTAGAAAATCAACATTACTTTATTCAGCACTGAGGTACATGAGTAGCACTTCACCAAATGTGTACATCAGTCACCAAAACTTAAAATTCTTGATACATTTTGGCAAACAAAGGAATTAGTGCTCACTGGCTTACAAGTGACACAGTTATCTTCATTAATTAGTATTTGATCTTCTATTGGTTATTGATTTCTCACTTCTCATGATAACTAGCCTATTTTTTCAGCCTTTTTTATTATCTTTTTCCCAGATAGGGACAGTCTTATTAATTGTCTGTTAGTTTCTTCTTCAGCTCTGCTTTCTGTAACATGTCTTTGTGGTTTATAAATTCTGCATTCCTGGTGTCCAGGTCTCAACACTAAATTTCTCCTGTCAATTTCCTCACCCAGGCCTAAGAGCACTGAAGCACGTCCTAAATTTTTATTTGTTTTTCTAACACATGAGCATCACCCAGAGCTTTCCTGTGCTCCCACAACCTAAACAAGCAAAGTGTTTTTCCCCACTGTGTTTGGCTGACAACTTGGCTGTTCCTTGCCTGTTTCTCAAGGAACTGGCCACCCTGTGTCTTATAACACACCAGTGGCCACTGTAGCAGGGAGCAGAGCTACGAGTGACAAATGTCTTGTCTGATTGTGACAAACTTGGAAGGTCAAAACTCGCTTACACAAGTGCTTGGCTCACATTTGACACTACTTGCATCAGAAGATTAAGCCTTCAGCAAAACACATGATCAAAGTGCACCTCTTTCTGCGGAGGTAAGTAATTAAAATAAAAAGTCAAGGCCCTTCCTTTACACGTCAGGCTCAGGGCCACCAAGAGGCCGTGCACGTCACCTACTCGCACATCCACGGAGCAGCCCACTGTCCAGGACGGATTTCCCAACACCTGGTTGTGGCACAAGAGATGGACGAGCGACGATTTCCCGACACCTGCAAGTGCACAGAGAGAGAACAACTCTTGGAAGGCGGTGCCAGGGTTACAGGTGGCGAGGCCGGGAGCAGCACTGAGTGAACGCGGGCGGCCCCGGCCCCTCAAGCGGGTGACGGGGAGGGAGGCGAGGATCAGATCGCGGAGGAGCGGCCGCAGGACACCCGGCCTGGAGACACGGACTCACCGGAGTCGCCCAGCACCAGCACCTTGACCCTGTCCAGAGCCGCCATCTTTACCCTGCTTAGCAACACCGCCCGGCCACGGGGGCGCCCGCCAATCGCGGCGCGTGTTCTTCCCGCTCCTCCCAACCTATTGGCCGCCCGCTCGAGCGGCCAGCGCGGTTGTCACTTCTGATTGGTTGATCCCCGGTGAGGGCGGGAAGGCGCAGTTCTGTGCGGGCAGGCGATTGGCTCGCTTGGCAGGCGTGGGCGGGGAGGGGGCGGTGCGGCGCACGCGCCGCTGGCGGTGGCGCTGACGGCAGCGGCGCGCGCGGCGGTGAGGCGGGCGGCGCCGCCCGGAGCCGGGGAGAGCTGGAAGCGGCGCCAGGTCAGTGCCGGCCCCGGGAGCGGCGTGCTGCCCGCGGGGCCCCTGCTCCCCGCACGCTGTGCCCGTCCGGGCCCCTTCCTCGCCTTGGCTCCTTCTCACCGTTTTGTTCCTCATGCGGTGTTTGTTGAGGCTTCTTTGTTTTCTCTATTTTTTTTTTTCTTTTTTAAAATGAGGTTCTGCCGACCTCCTCTTGCCCTACAGAATCCCACACAGTTCGGTGTTTAAAGCTCAGCACATGAAAGCGGGTAGGGAATGGGAAGCTGTGCAGACGGGTAGGGATTCTCCCCTCAGGCTCGGCCGGGAGGTCTGTGCCGTGTGTGGTTCGGAGGGACATGCAGGGCTATGGGCATCTCAGGAGTAGCTGGCTGGCAAAGTGAGCTCCTTCCTGGTTTTTTGGTGGTTTTTTTTGTGTATTATATTCCTTCTGGCCTCAGGAGCGTGCTGGTTCCCCGAGAAGCAGGCCAACATCACATCTCATAGTGGCACCGAGCTGCTGTTCAATGGCTCCAGCTATAAGGCTTGTGCCATTCCAAGCAGCTCACAATGAAAGAGCAGAATGATTATTCTGAAAAGGTGTTCAGCCGTGCACAGCTAATGTGCATTTTCTTGAAGTCTAGGTAGCTTAATATTTTACACCCACAAAAAGGTGGAGTTTTGCAGTGACATCCTCTCTGGACGTGCTGGTTCTCTTGCTCATCAGAGTTCACCACCAGCTCACTTAACTGTTGGAAAACATTGCAAAAAGGGGGAAAAAAAAAGTATTTTTCTACCTTTAAGCAATCAGTTTGGTGCACGGGGTGGTGGTGTGAGGGCAGAGCCATGTGCCTGGGAAGGAGAACATGCTTTTAGGCAGGAGTGAGGCTTGATGGGAATTGCATTCCTGCCTTCCACTTCCTGTCACATACAGCTCACTTTTTCACAGGATGCTTTAGGGGTTTCTTCCGAACAAGAAACTATGTTAATTGAAGCTAATCTAGTGTCTTGTTACCTAGTTTCTTTGTTTCTTTATTGCTTTTATCCACGGTATATACTCACCTAACTAAAACTGTATTTAAGCCAATGGTTCCATAATTTTTCGTTGTCTTTCTGGAATTTCCAAAAGGCAATATTGCTCACATCATCTATCATCATGAAAAGTGTGGTGTTACAGGTCTTATTGAATCCATAATGTGAAAAAGCAATTATTGTTTTTTTTTTCTGTCAGAAACGTAGAAAGGAATGGTTAGGCTCTCTTTGCCTTGGTGTAATCATGACTTCCTAGGCTTGATATGTGAGAGAAATGATCATACTTTCTTCCCTTTAAAGAAACCCCCAAAACCTTACAACTACATTGTGTGAGGGTTGATGCTTACACGTCTCTGAAATAATACATATTCTCCTGGTAGGTTCAGATCAGGGTGTAAATTGTAAGAGGTTCTGGTCTCGATAATTAAAATTTTCCAGTGGCCTCACATTACAGTTAGGTCAGTTTTGCCTCCATGTGGGGGAAGCTCCCCACTCATCTACATCCTTAGCCATGCATTCTTTTCTTTGTTTTGTGTTGGCTCTAGTCTGGTAATATAAATTATTAAATTATTGAACTTTTCCCCTTTGCCCTCTCCGAAGTGTCCCACTTTTTATTTTGATATGTCAGTTTTTCACTTTTTATCAATTGATTCTTGTTGCTGCATGAATAGTGAACTGCCAGAATTAGGACAGAAGGGTGGGGCTTGTGGCTAAAGGCAAGGAAGGAAAAGAAAGACTTTCTTAGGTGTAATTTGACTTAAGTTGCAACAGGAAATTTCATCCAGTAAAGGAACACACAGGTGGTCCTTTAATTTCCTGACACCTTGCAATTGTTTATGCTGGGTTAAGATTAGAAGAGTGATTGAGAATTACATCCTGAGCCTGCATTGTTCAGTTTCTGCGCCTGGTGTGGTCAAACCTTGTGGCCTTATTACATCTAGTTCCATGTGTTTTCACTTGTAAAAATGGGGGGAAAAGCCCTCATTTCAGCCAAGCCCCTCAGCCTTTCTGTGTTCAGCTGCAGCACAACTTCTCATCCTGAATGAAGAAAACCCTTTGATACCTGAGGCCTCCTGGTTTCAGTTTATGGAAGGCCAGCAAGACGATGGGAGTGAACAGAGATTGTTCTTTTCTGCCCTCATACTTCAAGACAGGTCTTGCAATGAAAATACACTTATTTCTCGTCCAGATGTAGTGAAGGAGGAAGGCTGAGCAGCAGCATTCATGAACTCTCCAGGGAATCATACTCAGTAAGCTCTTGATAAAATGTCAGAAGACTTTATTTTGAAACTGATGTGGGATAAAAGCAATTCTGGACTCACTACAGAGAAATGCAAGTAAAAACAAAACTCCAAAGTGGAAGATTCTGTGCCCTTTTCTGGAAAGAATGAATAGTGTCTGAGGTTACGTTGTACAGTTATTGAAAATCTTGATGACATATTTTCCCACTGTAGTTCTGAAATGTATGCCTTTCCTTCCTGTTCTCAGGAAGATTCAGGATTGCTTCTCTTAGCTTAACCTCATCATCTTCTGAAAAGCAGAATTTTAAATCTAGTTAGATTGAGAGACTACAAGCAGGGATCTGGTGTTTTTAAGTGACAGCTGGAGCAGGATATGGCATGCACTGGCTCCAGGAAGCCCATTGTACCTGCCACATTCACGGGAGAGGGGATTTTCTTATTATAACTGGTTTTAGATTTTACCTGGAGAAACTATGTCAGTGGTGCAAGCAAGTAATATTTTTTCCCCTTTCTTAAAAATGGTGTGTCAGAAGCTTGCAGAAGCATTTTCTAAGCAAATCAACAAAAGCTGGTTTCAAAGATTTAGTGGAAAAGATCACTAATTAAATAAATGTGGGGAAAAACAGGAAGCACCTGTGCAAGTGTTAACAGTGTGTCTGATAGCCTGTGTTCACCTCCAAACCTGCAACTCCTAGTTTTCCTCCAGAAGAGATCTGGGGTGATACAAAACCTTTGTATATCCATATGAGTCTGAAGAGCAGTCTGCTTCCTTTTTTAAGATCCTGCTTTTAAAGATCCTCTGTCAATTATATGAATAGTGACACCATTGAATTTTCTAGGTAAAATTAATGTAAGTCTCAGAAGTTACATGTTGAAACAGGATGATCTACATTTGCAGTATTGGATAAAAATTCATATTAATTTACTGGCTGATGTAGGTTTTCATATTTTCTAGTACTGTTTTCATCTACATTGTGGCTTCTAGGTTACCACCCTTCTAGCACTTTTTGTTTCAGTTTGAGTCAGGAAAAGCATGCAGAAAAACAGATCTAACTTAATTAGCACAATTCCTGTTCATTGGAATTGAAAACTCTTGAAATTGTTGTATGTGGAGAAGAAGAGTTCAGTTGTTTTCATGTTGCATCAGGAAAGTCCTGAAAGTGCTCAGTTCAGATTCTGGCTTCTGTGTGGTCTCTGATCCCATCATATTGAAGAGGTTTTTTGCAGTCACTTGTTCTCCCCCTGACATCCTTTCTGGCATCTCTGGTTATACTGAAGGCCTCATACATTTTACTAAAACTCAGGTAAAATCTTGCAGAAGGTACCTTTATTTTCTTCACTCAGCAGATCTGATTGGGTTGTGTAACTGTAACTCTCTTTTTCCAGTGTTGCCTTTTATAGACACATCAATATTAATTCTTTCAATTACAGCAATTTTAAAAACCAAACAGATGTGTTTTTAGGTTTGCTGTCCTACTGTGTTAACACAGACAGGTCTGCTTTCCTCCTGTACCCAAAATACTGAATTGTATTAATGTGATTACCCAGAACAATTCCCCACCAACTGTCTCTTTTAATAAAGTCCATGTTTAAATTTGGAAATTCTTCTTTTGGCTGTTTCTGAATAAGATGCTGTCCAGTATGCCTTATTATTAGTGCTGTAGGTGCATACTGGCATAGCTGAGTATTGTGGCTACTGCTACTGTATTTTTTTTTTTTCCCTGAAAATGTTCCTTGATGTTCATAAATTATTAAGGTCAGTTCAGACATTATTATGAAACAGATGCAGGTCCATTAAAACCTTGTTAAAGGTGTTATCATATTTCTTTGCACATGTAATTAATTCAGGTTTGACTTACTGCTTCAGGGGAAGGTGAAGTCATTGCTGAAGGATGCAGTAGTAAAGTCCCCTGGGTTTGAATTTTGTGAGTTGAATCAGTGTCTTTTTTGCCTGGTGAAAGATGGTAAGAATTTGCAGTTTAGGGACTAAAAGTCTTGGATTCTTCATGGACAAGACATCAGCTTGGCCTGGTGAGATCTGGCAGTGGTATGCACTTACTTTTTTTTTTTCCCCCCTTCAAAGATGGCACTAGTCAGTTGTTTTTTTCACCCAAAGACTGTTTTCTGCAGGATTTAGACCTTAGTGTGTTAATCCACTTTTTGAAGTATAAGGGGAGAGAATGGTTTCTGGTGTTTTCAGAATGCTTGTATTTCCATATATCCCCATCTGGAAGAAGATTGTCACAGTCAAGATGCCCTCTGTTACCTGAGGATGAAGAAGATTTGGATACCACTCAAAATCTCCAGCAGAGTAGAAGAAACTATTAAAAGTCCTACTCCCACTAGATGAAAAATAATATTTTCTAGTGATTGACACTAAGAAATATTATTCAATCTCTCAATGTTGCTGAAAACTCAAAGAGTTGGTTTTATTTATTGGTCCCTTGTAAGTATCTGTTTAAGCTGTTTGAGTGCATTATTCAGGAGATTGTACTTTAAACCTATTTTGGAAGTATCTGTG